CTGAAGACCCACATCTAAAACAGGTTATGTATTAAATAGGCTCCATTAGTGCTCACAGTATCTTTTGGTATCCCATGTAGTGGGCTGAACGGTGTCCCCGAAATAGATCTATATAAGTCCTAACCCCCAATACCTATGAATTTGATCTTATCTGGAAACAGGGTCTTTGAGAATATACCTAAAGACTGAGAGGTGAGATCATTCTGGATTTAGAGTGAGCGCTAAACCTAATGACTGGTGTCCTTGTAAGTGAAAGGACAGGGATCTCTGAGACACACAGAGACACAGGAGAAAAGGCCATGGGAAGAGAGAGGCAGCGACTGGAGTGGCATTGCCACAAAGCAAGAAACACCTACGGTCACCAGGAGTTGGAAGAGGCAAAGGAAGACTGTCTCCCTAGAACATAGAGAAAGCCTGGCCCTGCTGACACCTCGATTTCGGACTTCTAGCCTCCAAGACTGTGAGAATAAATGTCTGTTGTTTAAACCACCCATTGTGGTCATTTGTTACAGTCCTAGAAAACGTATTCATTGTTTTAGAGAGAAAGCTTATTTTCCTTGACACTTTCCAAATGCAATTTGGGATCTTTCTTGCTGGACCATGGGGAAATTGCAGGCTTATTAAAAGCAGAGACCTATTACACAAAAAAAGTAAATTCATTATCTGTAAGACCTACCCCTAGAACAAATTTTCACCAACTTGTAGAATTCATTTTGTAGAATTTTTTACTTATCATAGAGAGGCAAGACACTTCCATTCACATAGATAGTGTCCAAGTGGCTATCTGAACTCAAAGCTTATATTCTTAACCAGCCAGTAAAACCAGGGTGGGGTTGGGCAACCTTGAATACCCTCCCCAGCACCACTCCTTCTGAGAACAGCACTCTGGGAGTGCCGAGGGCTTGTGGGCACAATTGGGTTTGTCACTCACAGGGCTGTGACTTAGTAAGTTCCCAATAGCCCAGACACCTGAAGAGAAGTAAGACCCTTTAGGTAGCTGCCCTGGTTTGCCAAAGACTTAGGGGTTTTCTGAATGTAAGACTTTCAGTGCTAAAACCAGGACAGTCCCAGGCAGTGAGCCACCCTCCTTTAGGTGACACAGGAATGGGAGCATAAGAACAGTCCCCTGAGAGACTTCGAAGAGCCCAATTCATGGAGTCTATCTCATGGCATTGTGTCTATGTTCGCCCAAATTCAGCCAACAGAGTAAAATAAGTGCTTCCTGCATACAAGGCCATATCCCAAGAGACATGGCCTCAGTTCTCTGTCTTCATTCATCAGAACCCCCATCATCAGCAATGGGTTGCTCTCAATGTGTGTCTTGAAAGCTAAAGCACCTTCCCTGGCCCATGTGGCCTGACAGACATGGACCTAGGAGGGACAGAGCCCAGGACCATGGTTCTCCTGGCAGGCACGTCCACACTTACCACTGTAGCCTGGTGTGATTGGCAGGCTTCTCATGAAGGTCTTAGGGGGCTCCATGATGCTGCTCTCTGTTAATGAAGGGAATAGGGAATGCCAGTCTCATCAAATGTTCCTGCCTCAAGAATTTACCATGTGTGTGCAAGGGCCCTGGGGAATAGAACGACCACCATCTTTCCCAAAGCCAGGGAGTACAGCTGGCCTTGGTTATAAACGAAAGACCTGGTACCAAGGGGCCATCACCTTTCATGTGAACTTAGGTCATGAGTTAACAGGAATGCAGGTCACTGCCCACTGGCATCTCCCCTCTCCTGGAGGCCTCCTCCCATCCAACCAGCTAGCCAGCAATCATGATCTAAACGCAAGTCATGGTGACAGAGCCTAACGATTCAAAGATCAGCAAGACCCAAGAGCCCCCATGTCAAGCTCATGAACCTCCAGGGAGAGATGAGTTTTGCCACTCGTCTGCCATTCCCCCAGGGACATGTGGCAATGTCTGAGGTGTTTTGGTTGTCACAGTTCGGGAGATGGGATATGCTATAGCTTAGTGCATTCCCCCCAAATTCATGTGTAAGTAGGGGTGTCAGCGGGTGAAGAATTAATCCAATTATGGTTTTGAAAGGCAGGACCTTTAGACGTGATTAGGATTAAGTCACTAGGGTGGGACTTCCAGGAGTGAATCTTCCAGGTGAGTTGATGAGGAGAGGAATGAGACAGACACACGGACACAGACATGCTTTGGTCAGACCCTTGGCATGCGATGTGCTGTGTGGCCTCAGGACTTGGAAGAAAGTCTCCACAAACAAAAAGACTCACCAAATGCAGTCTTGAACTTGGACCTCCCAAACCATGGGCTAAATAGCCTCTATTATAAATCCCCTCGTTTCAGATATTCAGTTACCAAGCAACAGCATGAACCAGAGCAGGAGGCTATGGGTACCTAGTAGCCCGAGCACTGCTAAACACCCCGCTCTGCACTGGGTGCTCCCCACAATGAAGAGTTTGAGGAAGTTCCAGCTTGGAGAGCAGAAGTTCCAAAAGGCTGTCAGGGAGTCCAAGGAGGGTGAGCAGGAGTGGTGGGGTTCCACCGCAGCAGCAGCTTCTGTGGATGCTGTTTCCGGAACGAGCCCACTTCCCTGCTTAGGGATCCCCAGTGGTCCCCTCTGGATGGACAGCACTGTGCATTTGCAGTCTGTGGATGCTGCAGGATCCTCCCCTGCCCAACCAGTTCTTTAAAATGGAGCCCTGGGTGCCCGGGGGACTTGAACTGACGGCCCACACACACCGGCCGCCTGCTGACAAGAACTGCTGTCAGCGTTTTCCGTGTGTGAATTTACGTTATCCTCTCCAGGATGTAGTCGCTATTACACCCACTGCCAGATAAGGATAAGCAAGGCCCCAGAACTGGCTATGCACACACGGTGGAAGAGGAACTGCGTTCCTGTTAAATCTCCACAGCTCCCTAAGGGTTAGTTCCGACCGGAGTCCCCATTTTATAGAGGAGAAAAGTCAGTCAGAGAGGTTCCCTAACTTGCTCCAGGGTTCTAGAGTGCAAGGGGCTATGAAAGGATGACCTCTGAACTCTCGGGGGCAGGATGTCCAAAAGTGCGATGTGTGGGCCCCCACCTCGTGTCCTGCGTGGAGAGGGGGGTCGTGAAGTTGGGAGAGGGGAGGGAGCCAGAAAGCAAGATCCCTGCGAGCCTCCCACCCGCCACAGCCCACCACAGCCCGCCACAGCCCGCCACAGCTGTGCTCTGCTCACCTGGGCAGCCTGAAAGGTGCGCCTCCTGCCCTCTAGGCCGGGCTCCTCCTACCTCCACGTGGTCTTTGTGAGCTCACCCGGCACCGCCCCGGAGCCCCACCCTCTTACCCGTGGCCCCACCAGGCGGAGGCGGGGAGGAGCTAACAGAGTGAGTTCAGAGACTTGCGCCCCAGCTCCGGCTTGGCCTGGGTGTAAATATTTGGCTTCCCCTAGAGCCGGAGAGGGTAGGGCTCTAGGTCTGAACCACAGGTTTGCCAGTGTAGACACTGAGGCTGCCTGGGCCTGGGCTGCAACCTGGATGAATGTCTGGGGGAAACAGGTGGGTGGGAACAGGGAGGGGTGCACGGCGGGCCACCCGAGAGGCTGGGCCTTGTGCCTGTGGCTACCCCAAATATAGGTCGTCGCTGGCCTAGCAAGCCCCTGAGTCTTCCCTCTGTCTCCAGATTAGGCGTGGCTAAATTTTCCGGTGGCCAGGAACCAGGAAAGGGGCACTGCAAAAGGAAGGGATGCCTGGGGAGGTTGAGGCCTACGTACTCCTTTCCTACCACCCTAATTTCTATGAGGGCAAACAGGGCCTCACTGGATTGAAACGAACCAGAATGTCCACTGTATTAGAATCCGACAGAGGAGGAAAAGATGGCTTCTTAAACTGCTAGCCCTGGTTGCCCATTTTTCTTTTGGAGAGAGATTTTTGCTATAGAGTGTGTGCGCTTACCAAAGAGACAGAGAAAGCGAGAAATCACCCCTCCCCCCTGGGGGTATAGCCACATGGCAATATCTTCTCCATTCTCTTCTTGGGATTGTGGTTACCCAAGCACACGCACCTGGTGTGAGTTTCAAGTCGCTGGGTCCAGGATTCAAACCTCGTTGACTATGTGGTAGTCTAGTCACATAACCATTACGCCATCTGCTGGTCCCCTGGCTGCTCCTTTACAGAGGTGTCTGAAGCCCAGCCATGCGTGTGGGGTTTGTTCACTACCTCCCAGCCTCCCCTGCCTCTACCCTCCTGGAAACAACTTCAGATGAAGGTTGGAGAAGTCAACCACCATGATACCCTGGGACCCTACCTTGAGTTATCTGGAAGCTTCTAGAGCCAACTCTGGAGGATGAGCCAGGTGTAGAGCCTGTAATAGTAATAATAATCCAGGGCTCTAGAGAGACACAGCCAGCTCAGTGTGCCTGCTGGGAGGCCAGAGGGCAAGGCAGCCCTCACAGGCCTGTTAAAGGACCTTCATTTGGGTGCAGTGGAGCTGTCAGTGGCCACCCTGCTCGTCTGCCTCCTCTTCTGGAGAAGGAAAAGGGAATCTGTGGACGTCAAGGAGCCTTGGTCCCCAGAAAACAAAGAGGCTGGTCTTGTTGACCTGTTAATCAAGCTGACAGTACCAAAGAAAGAAAGGACCAGAAAACCAACAACCATGGAGACAACATGGAGGGGAAGGTCAGTAATGATCTGACCATAATTCTATTTACAAATTCAGAGTGGGAAAAAAAAAAATCCTGGGCTACGTAAGATCCAGAGTTTTGTTTTATTAGACATCTGTGAAGACAAGAGAGTTTGCAGACACAGTCCTGTCAAGTCGTGAGCTGCAAAGTTCTGTGAAATCTGAATTTCTCTTGTAGTGAACAAGCCCCAAGTGGCTGATATTTTAGAATAGTGTTCCATATTTCAAGCAGACGAGAGGGAAGACATGATGGCCAACGACTGTTACAGCAGTCATCCACTTCAGTCATTTCCCAGCGTACATAGGCAGCTTAATCACAGCTATTACATCTCTACACGTGAAATTCGATCTTCGACTAATAATGCATTTTTGACTCCTGTTTATATTGGTGCATGCGATTCTTTGCTACCCTGGCAATTAACCAGACCTGGACTCTAAAAGCTAAACTTGGTCTACATAACATTCTAAAGGTAGGGCAGGCTCTGTCATCTGGACTCCTCGTAGCCATCACTCTGCAGAAACACTCGCATGGCCCCTCCTTCCCTATCCGATTTGTCTATAGCTTGTCTGTCGTTGAGCATTTATTAATGCCTGCTGTGTACAGAGTGCTCAGTTAGGAAGCAACTCCTTTATCGTTCTGCTTCCCCGACGGTGAACATCAACCAGTATGCCAGGGCCAACTGAGTAACGGGTCAAGACAACAGGCCTTCAAGGAAGCTTATAAGCCTAGGAAATGTGTCCAAGTGTATTTATCCAGTGCTCTTATTCTAGAATATTTCAGCGGGGTAGCGGGTGGATCTGGGGATGCATTTCTGTGGCCAGAAGAAAAGTCCAATGAGATTATCACCCCCTCTCCCTCATCTGTCTGCCAACACTGCAGATTTCTACTAG